TACTACTGTTACTACTACTACTACTACTACTACTGAGGCGGTATCATCAGCATAGAAGTGGATGCACTGAGGTCTCTTGTTGGCAGCAAGCAATGTGTGAACACATGAAATAGCTGTTGATGTAGCAGTGTTTAGCATTCAGCTGCCTACTTCCACACCCAGCAGACATACAGCAACATCTCATTGGAGTCTGGAAAACCCAAATGTTACGAGTAGCTACTAAACGGAAATGTTAGCTACCCTTATCTACACCTAACTACTAACTAACCTTAACTTTTAGACCATAGCTGCTAAAATAAACCATTAACTAACCTAAACCAAACTTTTTAGTTAGCCCTTAAACTGAATGCTATTAAACAGAGAAAATGGCAGAAAGGGCAGAAAGAATCAGCTGATAAAGTAGTTGTAGCTAACATGTTAGCAACCAGCCATCTATTTCAGAATGCACTGATGGAGTTAGTGTGAGTGTGGAAGGATTCACACTGAGACACAGCGTTTGTACTGCTGCTCAATCAGGGTGAAGATAAGGAGGTTGTGGTCCGATTGGTAATGTCATCAGTTTTTAAACCCAGTGGAAAAAAAGCTGTTCGACTGTGAGTGTGTGTGTGTGTGTGTGTGTGTGTGTGTGTGTGTATATGTCAGTGTGGCAGTGTGTCAGTGTGTGTGTGTGCTGATGCTGCAGTCTGTCTCATAGTCGACAGAGTCACCTTCACCCTCCTCTCAGTGTGTTTTATTCTGTTCAGTCTCTCTGACGCCTCCATCAGTGCTGTACCCGTCATACTGTGATGTCACAACATACAGTGTCACCATGACAACCACCGATAACCTATATTTATTCAGGGAAGGTTCAGTTTTGCAGGAACATTCACACTGTTACACCTTCATACCTGGAACCACAGTCTGATCTGCTGCCACTGACCGTCTTCACTTCCCCTCCCAGATTTATCCTGCCGGTCCGGAAATTGAACCGACGACCTTCCAGTCACAAGCTCGCATCTCTAACCTTTAGGGCCACCACTGTCTTGGTGGTCTACTAGAACTGCTTCTGCTTCCACTGCTAATGCTTCCACTGCTAATGCTTCTACTGCTAATGCTTCCACTACTAATGCTTCCACTACTACTGCTACTAGTGCTACTACAGTTGCTGCTGCTTGTACTACTTATACTGCTGTTACACACATCAGATTCTCCGGAACAGAAAGAAAGACACCTGAATACTATACAGTATCACCATTTGAAATAGTTCGGTTCCTGCTACTACGACACACATAGAACACTGACAGCCACCCCCCAACTTCATTGCCCCGAGGAGCAGTGCATGCTGGGTAGTGTAGAGTGTCTCACCGAGGTGTTCTGGCACTGGATGCAGGAGGAGTTGAAGCGGACTGCAGGTATGCGTTGTACTTTCCCCTGGATGTTAAACACACACTCATAGTTCTTCTGACCCGACTGAGGCTGGGGGAGGTTACGAGCTCGCAACGTGATTGGACGAACCATCCCGGCCGGGACCAGGATGTCAGAGGTGGGGAGGATCTGAGGACAACCCTGTGGCGAGAGAGAGGTGAGTTAATACACAGATAAATTGATGAAAGAGGTGTGGAGGTCGTTGGAATATGAGGCGGTATCATCAGCATAGAAGTGGATGCACTGAGGTCTCTTGCTGGCAGCAAGCAATGTGTGAACACATGAAGTAGCTGTTGATGTAGCAGTGTTCAGCATTCAGCTGCCTACTTCCACACCCAGCAGACATACAGCAACATCTCATTGGAGTCTGGAAAACCCAAATGTACTAGTAGCTACTAAACAGAAATGTTAGCTACCCTTATCTACACCTAACTACTAACTAACCCTAACTTTTAGACCATAGCTGCTAAAATAAACCATTAACTAACCTAAACCAAACTTTTTAGTTAGCCCCTAAACTGAATGCTATTAAACAGAGAAAATGGCAGAAAGGGCAGAAAGAATCAGCTCATAAAGTAGTTGTAGCTAACATGTTAGCAACCAGCCATCTATTTCAGACACAGAGCGACATGATCAGAGTCGTGTTTGTGTCCAACATTCACTTTCCTTTTATCTCTGGTTTGGTTTCTACGGCTCTTTAACGGCTGCTAATTGTTCAGTTTATATTATCGGATATTGGTTATTGGAAATGTCTTAATGGATTATTATGAATGTATATACAGCCTGTTTGTACTCTGTGACTCTACCACTAACACACACTCAGCAGACAAAGGCAGATAGCTTATCACAGTCTGTCATCGCTGACTGAGTGTGTGTTCAGTAATGGACAGCTGGTGACAGATCCAAGCTTTGGAGCTTCCTGAGGCTGCAAACACACACTCACACACACACACTTGGACTGTGTCTCTCAGTCGGGCGAAACCTTTATTAACGAGCGTCACCACCGTAATTAATTGCCTTGTGACTGACAGGAAGACCATTAGCTCCACAGGAAGTGGACCAGAGCACAGCGGACGCCAGCAGCGACTGTGGAGACTGTGTGACAGTGAGAGTGTGTGTGTGCGTGTGTGTGTGTCTCAGCAAACACTCGACATTTATCCAAACACTCAGCTCACCTGCGACACGCTGTCACACCTCTGTGAAACACAGCGACAGGAACATGAGACAGAAATGATTTTTATGAAACTGATGACTGCAGGAAAAGAGTGAAACATCTTCTGGGAACGAGTGATAATGAGCTGAGAGAACACCGATCAAACTTCCCTTCTCTTAAAATCTCATTTAACCAGCAAATGTTTGTATTGTAACGCACAAGATGGCCGCCAGACAAGACCCGGAGCAGTGACTTTATTGTTTGCGTGTTTGTGCAACGAGAAACGAATACTGTAAAATAACTTCTCTTTGTTTTCAGGAGACTTTTAATTTGAAAGAGACTTTAACCTGGTTGATTAAAGGTTAAATAAAATCTCTCCATTCAGAATCTCTTTTCCTTCCTTTCACACTCTCTCCTCGCTCTCCCTCCCTTCCTCTCTCTCTTTAGTCAGCCTAATTGCCTCCTAATTAACATTAATTGCAGTGATTGGACGCTTTCATGTCAATTAAGTGGCTATTCATCTCCTATTAACCAATTAGCCAATCAGAGGTTGTTACTGTCACCCTGTAATGACACCGAGCACCAATCACGTCAACGAGATGCCCAAACAACCCTCGCTCTCTCCGATAACGAGATAACGAGCAGACTGAGAGCAGCTCGTTAGGAAGTAATCTGTTACTGTAATCGTACCTCTCAGAGTTCGGTTTAATACTCCGATTTACTGAAACCTCCCTAAATGTTTGTTTGTCTTCTGAAAACTCGTCTCTCAGCAGCCGATTCTTAAATCACAATCTGTCACAGAGTCCTTGAACACATCAGCAAGGAGAGTGTGTGTGTGTGCGTGTGTGTGTGCCCTTCACTGTTGACCTGAAGCTTTACTGTTGTTTACTGAACCATGTAATGACAGAGAGAGCGAGCAGCTCTGACCTCCACCGCTGCTCGCTCTCTCTCAGTCCATCATTCAGTGAGGACGAGGAACATTTGTGCACACGCTGCAGATTACGAACTATAAATATCTAAAATGAATACACTAAAAAAACCTGATTAAATATATTATTCTAAAAAAAACTTATATTACTAATAGTATTTTTTACAAATACTTTAATAATCTGTAACATTTCATTGAGCGCTGCTCCAGAGCGCTCTGAAACAACATCTTCATCACCTGCAGACAGTTTAAGTGTGTGTGTACCTCCATGCTGCTGACTCGGCCCTCCTGGAAGGAACAGTCCTGCAGGTTGTTGGTGCAGATGTGACGATATTTACACCAATGACACGGAAACTCACTGCTGACACAGGAAGTACACCTGAGAGAGAGAGAGAAAGAGACAGTTGTGAGAAAGTTGTTCCAGAAATCTGAGCTCTGCTTTAACAACTGACCTCTGCCTGTTTAAATCTGCAGATTATAATCAATAAATTTTATTCAGTTCATATTTTATTTGTGTGTTGCCTTAAATATTAAATGAGGAAGTTGGATTATAGTTGATAAATTGTGTATAACTTCCAGAGTGGTTGTTCTGCTCTCTTTCACATCTTCACTCTCATCTTATTTTGAAACATGAAGTCTGCAGTCGACCTTCAGCACCTGCTGATATTATTCTGTATACAGTCATCAAATCTCATGTTCAGCTTCAAACCAACAATGTGTTGAATCTGTTGTACCTCAGGGGTTAATGTTTGGTCCCCTGTTGCTCCTAATTTACATCAATGATCCATTTAATGTTCATAAACTGACATCTGATATTTCATTTGCAGACGACGCTGTAGTATTTTTATAATCACAGAAACCTTAAAGTATCCTTCAGTCTGCTGTTATTCTATTTGATCGTCCACAAATTCAAGTGGCGGATGAAACCGCATTTGGTGCTGTAGTGAGTGTTTGTGGCAGCAGGACGAAGTATAAATAAACTACAGTGTTTGTTGTAATGAAGGAACTGTGTGGAGCTCTGTGGCTCAGAGGAAGAAGATATGTCACAGATAGTTGTTAGTGGATTCATTCACTGTTGGTGTGAGACCACAGACTGTGTGTGTTTGGGATTAAAGTCCATTGTTGTCAGAGTCGACATCCAGCTGATCTGTGTGTGACCTCAGCAGGTGAGGACGAACACCTGTGTGACAATCCTGCTGGGTTTAACAATCCAGTTCAGATCATGACTGGAATCTGACGACTTGCTACATACCTGAGAGGACGAAACCTGAGCAGATGTTTACAACGAGTGTGTGTGTGTGTGTGTGTGTGTGTGTGTGTGTCCTCCGGCTGTCCACACCAGCATGTTAAAAGACTTTAAACACTCCCAGTGGAGAGAGGAAGTGTTTCTGTATCCAAGGCACAGAGCTGCTGTTACCATAGCAACCAGCGTGCCCACCACACAGATTATGTTACCCCCCCTTGATCTGCCCCTCTGAGGAGGGAGGAGGAAAACAGAGAGGAGATGACAGAGGAGGAAACGAAAGGAAATAAGGAGATCAGGATAGGAAATAGGGGCTGAGGAGGTCCAGACTTACGAGTTGAGCACAGAGCAGTTGTAGTAGATGAAGCTGGTGGTGATGAAGTGGTGTCCGGTCTCAGTGGATCGAAGGCTGAGCTGAACAACACGTTTCTCTCCTGAAACCAACGACACAATATCACTGAAGACATCCACACTGACTGAGAACATCCACACTCATAAAAAACACAGTACAAACACAGAATGTGTGTGTGTGTGTGTGTGTGTGTGTCTCACCGTAGGAGTGTGTGTGTGTCGGCAGCTCTCTTAGTGACGGTGACATACACATCACCTGACCTTTAGCCAGAACCTCTCCGGGGGTTTCACTTAGGTCCTCAAACACACAGGACACGCCCCCCGACAGCGCCGGGACGTTCTGCACTTGGATGGTTAACTACGGTGATAAACACATTAATGGATCAATAATTATAATATAACAACATAACAATAATCAGTTTGGTACTTTAAAGTATATATTTCAGTGTGTGTGTGTGTGTGTGTGTGTGTGTGTGTACCTGGGTTGCCGGGGAGGTGACTGACATGTCGCTAGGCGATACAGAGATGTTGACACATTGGTCCAGCCGGGTGTTGAAGTGCTGAGGCTCCTCCCATTTGTCACATGCTTCCTGTCTGGAACACCTGGAGGGGTCAAAGGTCAGCACAGGGTCAAAACACTGCACACACACACTGCACGCCCACACACACTGCACACACACACTGCACACACACATTTATTTATTTATCTCAAACCACTATATTTTTAAATAGTTTACAGATTTGTATTTATTTAGTATTTATTAATTATTATTTCAGGTCTTTATTATCAATTAACTTATTAGGAGGAGGAAGAAGAAGAGGAAGAGGAGGAGGAAGATGAAAAGCTGAGAGGAAGCAGAGACAACCTATTTTACACTTTGTTCCAATAAATGAATCCACTGCAGTCACGTGCTTTTACTTTGACATTTTATAGTAATGCTGGACGAACGCTGCGGTTACACACACACACACACACACACTTTGACAAAACACAGACCTCCTCTGCCTCCTAATTGGCTGACTACCAGCCGGGAGGTCACAGGTCAACATATCTCACAGCTGACACCTGAACACACACACACACACACACACACACAAACAGGACAGATGACATCATCTCTGACATGCTGGACTTCCTGTCTCTCTCTCTCTCCTGAGGAGGTTCAGCTGTTTCTTCTTTTTCATTTTTTTCTTTATCTATTGAAAATACTCATGCAGAACTCCATTTGAATATCTGCCGATTTAACAGATATAAAGTCTACAGCAGCGACATTAATATACATTTTGCTGCATCAGTACTTCTTAATGTAATATTAAAGACAGTTAGACATTAGCAAATCTATAATCTGTTTAAACAAATAAAGATTAGAATGTGTGTAGAACTGTTAATTTTCACTAATGTTCTCTGACAATTAACAGTAAAAAGTATTAGTTGGTAGTAATTGTCTAATGTATATAGTGGTAACTGACAGCCATGATCAGCATCATACATGATGAAGTTGATAAATGTTGTTTATCAGTGTAATACAAGCACTGGGTAACACTGTCCAAATACAGTTTTTATTCAGTGTAAACAGCAATAATTCTGTCATCTTCACAGATAATGACTTTTATTACCAGTGTCTTAAAACTTTTAACCATCTCACATTAACATAATAACCAATCCAATATGAACAGCACTCTGATTGTAAACTGTAAGTCTGATTATTGTAATTCATAGGGAGACGTTCACCCTGGAGTGTATAGGATCATCTGTTTTACAGTGCTACATCCGCTCTGCTCTCCCCCATCATCCACTAACCAAAACATGGGCCAATGGCGTGTGACTCGCTCAGCGTGTGACCTCGCTCACGTGATGACTGCTCAGGTGATGACTGCTCCAGTGTCGACTGCTCAGCGTGTGACTGCTCAGGCTGTGCTGCTGGGACATCCCAGAGACGTCTCTTACTTGTTCGAAGGAGACACCCCCACCCGCGAGGTGAGGGTCTCCTTGTCCCGACACGTCGGCCAGCAGCCTGCTGTCTGCTCCACAGCTGCTCCACTGGCAGTCTGCTCACCGTGAAAACCACACACACAGGTAAAGACTTAAGATATTACTGACCAACTTAAAGGAACCACTGGGCTGAACACAGCTAACAGCTAACACACTGAGGATTTCAAATCAAAGTGTGAAAATCTACATTTACTGAACCAATATTCGATTGCAGTTTATCCTTATTGAGGTCAATATGGATAGTATCTGATTTTCATGGTTCTGTATGACCCACAGTGCAATTGTGTGTGTGGTGTGGTGTGCTGTCGTGTGGCTGTGTGTGTGTGGTGTGACAGTGTGGTGTGTGTTATCTCAGTGTGGTTTGGGTGGTTTTCAGACAGTAACGCAGCCTGAGGGGCTGGTGTGTCACACATTTGCTTGTATCTTTGCAGACAGTTAGTCAGTGTGTGTGTGTGCATGAGTGAGTGTGTGTGTGTGTGTGTGTGTGCGTGTGTGGAGACAATGAATGTATTCATGTGTGAACATCTGAATGAGACAGAGACAGACAGAGTGTCCACTGTGTTTCACTGTGTTTACTGTCTCCATGCTGCAGTGACTTCTGGGTAAAAGTTACTACCCACACACACACACGCACGCACACACACACACTGAAAGTACACAGGAACGTTCGGGGGATACGCGTCACTCCCATTCCATGCCTCGACAATGCACATCCAGTTGTGAGGAATGTTTTTGATGCAGTGAATGTTGAATATGTCTACTGTTGACTTCAACATCTTAAAACACAATATCACAGAGACCCACTAGACTGAAACGACAGACATACAGTAATAATAAGATGACCCTGTCTGCACCAGCTCAACATCCCGTCTGGTGAAGCAGACCGTGTCTTACTTAAGTCGACAAAACAACTCACAACCCATTATGCCTGCGTGTCTGTGTGTGTACGGGGAGGCCCCGTTTTAAAGCTGATTTGCTTGTCACTGTTTTGCAGGCACATCATCCCCTTATTCTGAAGCAACATCCGTTCTCCCTCTCTCTCTCCCTCTCTCTCTCTCTCTGTCCCTCTCTCCTATCACCCCTGCTACCCAATTCATTCATCCCACTTCTGTCTGTCTGGTCCTCGTTTTAGAGCTAGAACACTATTGCCCTGACGCTAAGGTGTCTGGACAAGGAGACAAGCTGGAACACACACACACAAACACACACACACACAGAAAGCCATACAGTGAAGTTAGAGCGCCCCCCAGCTTTCTGCTGGAACACACTGCATCTATTGCATTGCAAAGGGAGAAGCAATGTATTGCGGTAACTCAGTTACTGTAACTGAATTAGCATCTTCTAGTAACAAAAAATCGTAAAGACGAAATGAACAAAACACAATAAGCCAAATATTTCTAGAACTGTAACAGTAACATATTGCGTTTCTGGTAAGGAAGAAGGACATCTAACCTGCCCAATAAACCAGAACATTTCCATAAGACTCAGTTGCATCAAAGTGAACTCAGTGACTATGTTTACATGCACAAATTATTACGTTTTTTCCCCTATTCCAAAAGAGGCAATATTCCTACCAAGCTGTTTATATCGCAAGTGAAAATGAATATTCCACTAATTTTCCTGTTTACATGCAATGACATAGTGTACTTCCTACAGAGGAATCTCCCTCCTTTCTCCTCTTGCTTCCCTTTCCCTCTTTCTCAAACTGCAGTCATGTTGCTCCCGAGGTAAAAGTGGAACAGCTGGAGCTGCTTGGGTCATTTTGCCTCTTTGCATCAAAAGAGGAATTGTTTCAAAGTTTTCCACTGGTTGCAGACTTGTTCGACCACGCACACACAGCCTCCCTTTTTCATTTGTTCAACCACCATCTTGAAAAGGTTGGCGTTGCGCTATCTGCGCGTATCCAAAGACCTGTTGATACCCAACTCTTTGATAATGTTTAATAGTAGGTGTGCTTCTCCTTCTGACCAGAAAAATGGGCTTTTCTTTTGTGCATGCATCTCTAATAGTTGGTTTGTTTACAACACACAGAGCTGACCGTAAATAACTGAGAGGCCATGTGTTACAAGCTGAGGTAAAAACTTCAAATGAGACACGCATTCTGAATGCTCTGTATACAATGCTTCAAAAACCCGAATAATATCGGCATTTCCCACATGTCTTTATTGGAAAAGGACCCATTGGGAGTAAGGCCTAATTAGGAATATCCAAAGGGAATGTGCTGTTTACATGACCCTTATCAAATGCGGAATATTGTCGTATTTGGAATAATGGTGGAAAATGAGTGTGCATGTAAACGTAGTCGGCGTTACTTAGGAACAGAGGTGCAATCTGACTGAATGAGGTGAAGCGACCGACCGACCATCTGGGGCGTAAAGTCAACTTTTTAAGAGACAACCAAGACAGGTCTAGACTATGGGGCAAGATTTTTCAACAACAGCCTAGAGCGACCCCCCCCCTTCTCTTCCCCTTTTCAGTAAGCAGCTCCAGTGCTGGCCTTCTACTATCTGGCCTGACATGGTAGCTTGTGACCCTGCGTGGTTGAGGAGGAGGCCACATCAAAGGCAGAGGAGAAGCCTTGGAAAAACATTTGGGCTGAGAATGGACGGGATATCTGTCAGGAAGTCTTTCCCACTGGGCTCACTAGTGCTAGGGCCCAGTGATCAGGTTACCACCCAAAAAACGCCGACATGAAAGAGGAGGCGACACTAATCCACATACATGGGGTTCTCTCTCCACTCGCACTACTCCACCACCAATAATGTATCCCTTCTTCTCCTCTGCTTCTCGCCCTCTAAACTCTCCACCAGTCAGTGTCTCTGTGCCCCCCCCCCCTTAAACTACACT